CCTGCCTCCCTGACCAGCGGCCATTATCAGCTTGAATTTAGCGTTTACTTTGTCCATTCACATTTCAAAACTCTTACGTGTCCATAAATTGTGCATTGCCTCGCCTTGCCTGTTTTCAGACTTGATAGGAGTGGTGTCATTTCTGTTATACTCTTGAAAGCTCCCATCCAATGCCGGTACCACCAAACAAAGCCAGGCGTACACAGTAACCGAAGATTGTGGGAAAAACTTGCGGAAGTCATTGTAAAAATAAGTCCTCGGAACACACAATGAAATAGGATTGCTGGAAAAGTATGCGGCTTTTTGTCGAGAGGAGTCTAGATTCCCGGTACTTTGTGTTCCAGCAGCCTTGGACTTGGTTGGTGGTGAGAAAAGGGAGAAGCAGGCTTCTGTTGGGTGGAACGGGCCCTTTGCCTGGATGCTTACCTGTGAACAGGTAGTCGATGAGTGTCCCTTCGTGAATTCTTTAGTCATTTGGGGGAAGTTCAGTGTTTTTGCGAAGAAGGAGGTGACCGTTAGATAGATGTCTTCCCTCTGAGTTCACGTTTGTGGAGGCTCAGCCGTCCCTATTCTGGCGTGCTATGTGATTGATTATGTTAAATCCACCGACCTTCAGGGATGGGTGTGATAAACTCTTGTTACATCTGTAGTAGTGCCTGCCAGCCAGGAAGCAGGAACAGCCACTGTTGCCACGTGTCATGGGTGCTGATAGCTGCTCTGTATCTAATGATCTCACAGAGCGGGCTCAGCAGGAACGTACGGATGGCACCCGTGATGCATCCTCCTGAGTCAACAGAAAAATGTGGAGGCTGTCCTGGGAATTTATATGCATTGTCGAATTTTACGTTCAGTGGATTTTAGTTTCATTGTTGGATTTCAGTTCTGTTGATGTATAATACAGCCTGTTGTAGAAACAGTAATTGTAGGTGTGAGATGTAGCGGAGGAACCTGTTTCCTTGCCCTTCCCCTCATCAGCTGCTACTGTGCTGTCTTCCAAATGTCGGCTCTAAGACTGTCTCCCCCGAAGTGTTAGCGTTGTCAGGAAGTGTCTGCTTTATTTTTGCA